AGGTTGTGCTAGACATTGGAGTGCTTTTTAAATTTGGAAAACCATATTCCTCAAAATTTTCTTATGTCTTTACTAACTTCCTGTCCACTGTTATTTCAATTCTCATTTTCTAGAATTTCTACTAGATATTGAATCACTTGGATTGAGCATCCATTTTTCTTATTTTTTTCTATTGTTCATTTCTTTATTATACTTTATGTGAGATTTACTTGACTTTATCTTCTAATTATTCTATAAAAACTTAGTCATGTTTTTAATTTTCAGGAGCCTTTTATGTTCTCTAATTGTTCCTTTTTATATATTGTTTTTATTTCACACATGCAGTTAGTATCTTTTCTCAAATCTTTAATGACATTAAAATGTTTTTTTTTTTTTTTTTTCTGCGTCACCTTTGTTTCCCTAGAGTTCTTTATTCTGTTTGCTTTCATCATGGTTATGTTAGAGTATCTCTTAACCCTTGGGTGTTAACTCTTAAGAGTAAAGCACCAAAAAGCTGACTTGACCAGAAGCTCTGTATACATGTGTTGGGCTTATACACCGGTGGTCTTCACTGAGCCAAATTAGGGGACCAGTTGGTGTTTTCACTGAGGCCTTCCAGATATCACTGCAAGTATTTTCTCTGGGGTAGCATCCTCTTATCTCCTCTCTGACAGTTGTCTCTGGATATTGGTGTTCTGGATTTGAGCAGTAAAAAGGGACTATTCAGCATACAGACTCCCTCAATCTTGTTTTAGAAGGAACTCAGTATCTGGAGGAAGAGGAAAAGTCAACAAATTGCCAGGGAGCAAGTTAGATGGGGGTGGAGAACTGGAGGAAACCAACTGCTTTACTAAATTAAATAGACTTTTAATTTAATTCTGCTGCTTTCTGCCCAGTTTTTACTATCCCTGTGCCTTTTCTGGGTTCTGTGTGGCAAATCTTGCTTCTCATAGATATCCATCCAATTCCCTTTATAGACGCTAAAGTTTGACCTCCCTTCTCTCTGCTCAGGCTTTCTCGGTCCTCTTTCCAATTTTTTTTTTTCTCCATACATTGTAGGTACAGGTACCTCTTCGTTTCCTAATGACAGAAATGCACTTCTGTTAACTGTTCTCCTTAATGTTTCTTGGTGAATTTTGAGAGAAGGTGGTTGGGTGGGTATGTCTTTACTCTGCCATTCTAAAAACAGAGCCTCTCATATTTTTATAGCAGAAAACATAACTTGCCATATATGGATTCTTATAATCCCTTTATTTTTGTTTAGTTAAAGCCTAAACTTGGAGATAAACTAAGTTTTAATCTAATTTGGGCTTTATACTAACAGGAAGAAATAAGCTGTATAGCAAAAGGGTTATAGGCACACACCACCAAACATCTGGATAAAATACAAATTTAGTGCACAGGTGTTCTGCCTACATGACCACAAGCTAAACATCTGGACATGAGACATTTTCTTTAGTTTTCACCAGATGTTTTGCATCATCTATAGCCGTGTAATTAAAGTAACTTGTGAGTGGAATGCTAAGTTAACAGATAACTTGAGGCTACTCTTCTGTACGTCCTGCATGTGACCATGAATAGGTCCACCACCATCATCACATTGGCCGGTCCATAGAGAATCCTTAGATGGTCCAAGGAATTCACATCTGCAGGCACTGATCTGGTGATTCTATAACTTTTCTCTTTCATTCCTAAAGAATCAGCTAAAGTATCACAAGGAAATAGTTTGCAATCTATAGTTTTAGAGGCTGAAGAGCGGCCTTAGAGATCTTATTAAATGCACATATTTCTTCCACATGTTGGATGTATGAGCTTACCCCCAACCCCCATCCCCAATTTTTAACTGAAAAAACTATTTTTCTAACTCTACCAATATATTTAATGTGTAATTCAACAAAATCCCTTTGGCCTAAACACAGAACTGGCTTGGACTATAGAACTAGAGTTTGTTAGATGGGTGTTCTCTGTGGGATGACAGGACATTTTATAGTCTGAGAGCTTCTGTCAAGGCTTTTTAAAGCTGGCTGTGTGTGTGTGTGTGTGTGTGTGTGTGTGTGTGTGTGTACACTTACAAATCTATTTTAAATTGCTCTATTTATTTTTAACCTATTCGTTAAAGTAGAGCTCACATCCCACTCCCTGTGTGAAGCCTGCTGAGCCTTTCCTTGGGTAGTCCTTACTGTGCTTCATTATTTACTATCTGAATTGTTTACTTTTGTGCTTGACTGATGAAAGTGTCATGCTGACATAATGAACATCTATTTCCTAGTGAATATTTCTTCACAAGAAGTACAGAGAAAACTGGACTAAGGTACCCACCTTTCCTGAGACCACTGAACTAGTGTCATGAACTTACAAGAAATGTTGAGCAGAAATGTACACAGCACTTTGTTAAAGTGCCTTCAGTGGGCTGGACTCCACCCAGCTTCCTTCCTTTGAGTACATCCAGCCGTCCTGGAAAGAAGCCTTGTTGGTTCTTTAGGATGATGCAGGAGAATTCATCAGTATAAAGCAGAGAACTCTTACTGAGAGCTGGGCTCATGCCGGCATGAGAGCAACAGTCCTTTATTCTCATAATTTTACATTTTAGGAAACTCTTCCTTACCATTTGGATAGCGGAGATACACATAAAGGGCTAAATGGGCCTTTCCCACAGGGAAAGTAGGCAGCCCCCATAAGGAACTGAAATGCCTGCCTGCTTAAAAATGTTTCCGTCATGGATCCATCAGGTGGCTTTGGGTTAAAGCACTCTTGCCAGAAGGCTCCTAAAGTAACATAAACACAGTGGACAGTCAAGAATAATCTATTTATAATTAATTATCCAGAGCAATTCACATGGGTGCACATAAATACTACTTAACAAAATAGAAATCAGATATCACAGTGATTTTAATTTTCTTTAATATGTTCTATATTTCTAAATTTTCATTTTGTTTCAAAATTATCATTTTTCTTCAATACAAAAATAAATAAATAAGTTAGTAACCCACCTGTCCTCAAGGGACCAATATTACCCGCTTTCTGTATATACCTTTATCTTTTTAAATTCAAACATTTTTTGGGGGGGGGTCACTGTTGTCTTTGCAAAAAGATCACACTATGAAAATTTCTTTTTATCTTGCCTTTCATTCGTTATAATATGTCCTAATCCCCTTTCCAGATCAGCAGATAGTCTTAATTTGTTCTTTTCTGCTGGTACATAACAACTCATAGAATGGATCAACCACAGTTTATTCAACCATTCAGTTCTGAAAGACATTTAAGTTCTTTCCGATTTTGTCACTACAAATACTTGTATCTGTAGTGCTCTAATATCCTACTATATTATTTACATTAGAAAATATCATTTAAAATATAAAAGAGATAATTACTATAAAGTCAAGAAAATATCATTTAAAATATAAAAGAGATAATTACTATAAAGTCAAGAAACAGATGCTGAATGAACAGATAAATAAATGTATTAAAATGTTACCTGGATGTGGGGCCACATACCATTTCTGTCTTGAAATAATCATCTTTTCATTGTGGATCCTTCTCCCAATGTAGACTTCAAATGTCTTGAAATCAAGAACTAGGCCTCTTTCTTCTGTGTCTCCTCCAAATTGCTGAGCACAGCCCTGCAGAGGGCAGGCATTCCAGACCCACACAACCCAGTGTGCTCTCATAGTTTCTCTTGAAAACAGCTGTTTAGATTTCAGAATGAAAATTTCCCATGTGTATAATGTTATAAAATGGTGTATTCCTAGACTAGCTCACAAACTTTTACTTTACCACAAAATGAAGGTAAACGATATACTTATACTATTATAGTTTCTTATTAATTCTGTGGGAAAAAATGTTCTGGATTCCAAATGAGCATCGACATGTGTGTGTGTGTGTGTGTGTGTGTGTGTGTGTGTGTGTGTGTGTGAGAGAGAGAGAGAGAGAGAGAGAGAGAGAGAGAGATCCTTTTCTTTACTGCCCTCAAATGAGATGTTTTCGCTCTTCTTCCGCTAATCTGGTTGTGTGTGGAAATTGAGCAAACAAAATAGGAAATACAATGACTAAATATGAAAGTGCCAGAAAGAAGAAAGGCAGAAAGAACAAATTTGACATAAAAGTTTATTATTTTCCTTAGAATTCTCATTCTTTGATATCTAAGAATTTAAATTTGATTGCTAAAAATATAGTAACTGAAATTTGCGTATAAGTAAAATGAAAATTTACAATTAGAAAAGATTATTTCGTCATTATAGAGTTTTCTTAATTCTTAATCTTCTTCAAATAGCATATTTAAAACATGATGTGAATCAAAGCAAAGATTGTTTAAATATTAGTAATGATCATGGGACGTATCAGTTATTAATAGCTATTGATCTTGACACATTTAATTTGTTCTTATATGTTCCTTTGAAGAGTCAATATTTGAACTGCTAAGATAAAAACACAAATGCATTCTAAAAATGAATATTTTGATAAAATAAAAGACTAGGAGAAACTATATAGCATTTGTAGGACAAAAATTATCTTCTATATAACTTAAAGAGCCATAGATTTAAAAATTCGTAAAAGAATGCAGTGTGAGGTATAAGATGTATTAATCAGTGCTTTCTTTTTTGAAGTACTATGGAAAAGAAGCTAGCTAAAACTTACAAGTAATTTATATAAAAATTATAAGCATATCAAGAAATAATTTCCTGAAATCACCTATGAAGTATTATTTAAATTTTTATATTAATAAAAGTAAAATCTGTATTAAAATGTTAATTTTTCAATAGGAAAATAAATCATTCATTGTTCCATTACTCGAAGACAACCACTATTAATGTTTTGATGTAGTTCCCTTTGGTCTTATTCATAGAACATCTTTGGAGTGGTCATACTGTACATATAAAACTGTATTTTTCTTTTACTCTCAATGCAGTGTAAGTATTTCCTAATGTCATACTTATCTTAAGTTCGTCATAAGCAAAAATACCAACAAAAGGAAACATTGCATCTTTGGTAAAATGTTTATAAGCATTGTGAAAGATGACAGGGTTAGGGACAGTGTTCCTCTGATTTCTCAATGAATGAAAAAGGTTTGTCCAAAAGTTTTGAAAAGCATTCCATCAGCTGCGAACATTGTGAGTCTCTTGGTTCTGCATCACTGAAAAGATAGAAAGTTCTCATCAAGATAAGCAAAAACGAAACAAAACAAAACAAAGAAAAATGGAGACAATTTGAGGAACTCACATGATAATGTGCCTCTAATATTGGTACCTCTAACGTAGCTGGCTCTTCTCTTCCTGGCTACTTAACGTGAACTTACCAACTATATCGACACTCACAGCCTCCTGTTGCTTGGTGTCCCATTTCTTTCTCTCCTTCAGCCTTGCAGTTTTTCACTCATGGTTGGTTGTGTTTTCTTTCTTATCTTCAATTATCTGAAAATGAAGGACAACTAACAGCCACTTTTTGTGGTTTTGATTTTTTTTTAAGTAACAGAAACTTTTCCATAAATGAAATCTTAATTAGAACCTCAATATGTAAAACAGAAAAAAGCAGAACTTTTTATATTGTCAAGAGAGGAGTGGTGCCAAAACCCAGGATCTACAGCTTGAGGTAGAAAGAATATGTGATGGGTTGTTTAAACCAATATTTGCTTTCAAATTACAAAACATTCAAGGTGAATCACAAAGTTTTATTTATGCTCATTGTTCTGCTAAAAAAAATTCAGTTTTTTGAAAACTATTACATAAGAGTTTCTGATGGAAAAAAACCTGAAAATTTTTAGAAATCAAAAAAGTGCAATACACTTGAAACCATTAAATTTTGGAATGAATATTGATTTTGTGGTGACACAATCTCTAAAAATCATCACTGTTCACTCACAACAGTCTGAGGAAACATGTGTGCCTGGAATCCACAATGATCATTTTTTTTTAAGGGAATTTTGTTCTGGGGTAAGAATAAAAAGAATGAAGAAAAACTGCTTCATTTGTGGAGATGAATATCAGAGAGAAAATTAAAGGAAAATAAGTATTTTAACTTAGTAACTCAAAAATGAGATATAGACTAAACTGTTTCAGAATATCATAAATGCAGTGTTTCCTCAGCAAATTCATCATATAAGGATCTAAGAGGGCAATGAAAAAAGTTGCAAAGTCCTTTAAGAAACCCATAAATTAAAGAATTTATGCATTTCATTGATGTTGAAGAGACAACTGGGAAATTTATAATGTGACCTTTTAAAATCACAGAACCCTTCAAAAATCTTCCCATTGATCTTAGAATAAAATTCAACATCCTTGATCTGACCTCTGCCCACTTGGCCTCTGTTCATGTCCTTCTCGTCCTTATTCACAACACTGAAGTCACACTCACTCTCCTTTGGTTCCTAGAATATGCCAGACCCTTTTGCTTCTTAGGCCTCTTTCTTCTGCCTAGGGGCTTTAATTGCACAATTAGGACCTGTTATGGATTGAATTGTGTACCCCTCCCCCATTCATATATTAAAGTCTTAACCCCTCAGCACCTCAGAATGTGATCTTACATAGAAATAGGTCTTTGCAGATGTAATTAGTTAAGATGAGATCATAATGGAAGAGAATGGGCCCCTAATCCAATATGACTAGTGTCCTTATAAAATGGGGAAATTTGGACACAGTCTCACAGCCAGGGAGAACATTATGTGAAGATGAAGGCAGAGATTGAGGTGATGCTTCTAACAAACCAAAGCATGTTCAAGATGGCTGGCAAACCACCAGAAGCTAGAAGGCATGGAGCAGATCCTTTCCTCCCAGCCCTCAATAGGAACCAAACCTGTGGACACCTTGATTTTGAACTTCCATGTCTATACCTGTCAGTTAGTAAATTTTTGTTATTTAAGCCACCTAGTCTGTGTACTTTGTTGGGGCAGCCGTAGGAAACTTATACAGTAACCTCTTGTTCTACAAGTCTTGCCTTAAACGTCAGTTTCTCAGAGGAACCGTGACCAGCTAGATCCCTCCGTATTGTCTATCAAGGCTCTTGTTTATTTCCTTCAGAACACAAATACAAATCTGCAGCTATTTTATTGGTTTGCTTGTTTGTTTGTCTCTGCCATCACCTCCATTAGAAGGTAAACTCCATGAGAGCAGGGGTTTGTCTTGTTCTGACCGCCTTCACAGCAGCTCTCAGTGTTGGGAGCATTGCAGCACTTAATAAATGAAGGTGCGAAATGTCTAGAAGTTGCATTAAAGACTAAGGAGGCAGTGCCAAGACTATATCTTGTCATTCACATTTTGAGTTTAGTGGAAATAAAGTTTTTCAAGGAAGCAAGAGAATTTAAAAATACTCTCTCAAGTTTTTGTTTTATGGCACTCTTCTGTCTTTTTGATTGGCACATTTCCAAACATTTTCAAATAGAATAAAAGTGTATCGTTCGAAATGCTAGGAAGTTGGGGGAAAAAGAACGTACTGAACATTAAACTTCATACGTTGTGAGTGAGGAGCTTACAGGGAAGTAGTGAAAGATATAACAAAAAATTCTTCAAGTATTCAGATCCAATGAATCGTGGTTTGCTGAATTCATGTTAGAAATTTGAGATTTATTTCTTGTTTATAATATTTTTAATACTTGAACTATTATAGTAATTCTAAAGAACTTGAAGGCAAAGCTATAGACAATTTTTCTGACTTTAAAAGTAAAAGCATTATTTTATGGTTTATCACTTTAGAGAAATAATGAATATTTTAAAGCCATTTGAGATGGAATAGAGAAATTATAGCAAAAAACATTCTAAAGAATATTTTTTCCTTCATCAGAAGAACAAGACAAAATTAATATTTATTACTAAAGATTGGGCAATATATTACTCAATTTAAATTTGTAATTTTCAGAGAATAACTGCAAAAAATGAACCTCATTTCAGAGTTTCTAGTAAAATGAAAGAAATCATCACATGAGGTACTCGTCAAGTTCTCCAACTTGATGTCCATAATCTTTGAATTTTAAAGGCTTTTTCTTTTTTTTATATTAATCGTTGTGCCTTTTATTGAGATAGTACTATTTAATTGTGAACATTTTGAATATACTGACTTTGTTTTCTAAAAGTTCAGATCAGGAAAATGGGAACAATTGAAATACCAATGGCTGCATGAACGAGACATCACTAAAAAATAGACTAAGTATATTATTTTATTTTTTGTGTTTTTTTTAATTTTTATTTTTATTATGGTGACATTGATTAACGAAATTCAGTAAGTTTTAGGTGTACAATTCAACAGTAAGGCATATGTATACATTACATTGGGTGTTCACCACCCATAGTTACATTTCTTTCTGTCATCACATATTTGACCCCTGAAGGCTTTTTCAATGTCTTAGTTCTAGTGTCCCAACTAAAATCTTACTTGGCTGTATGTTTATTCAACGTGGACTTCACAAGAATAGTCTTTGCAATGCAGAACTATAATCTCTGGCTTTGTCTTGGCCAACTGCTCTGGCAAATGTAAAACATTCATTTTCCATGATTTCATAACCCCCTGAATTATAGCACCATGGAGGAGAGACTCAATGGACAGGACAGAAGTAGTACCAGTGATACTGTGGAGAAAATTCAGGTATTGACTGACAGACTGATGAGGGGCCACTGATTTAATTGTAGCTATAAATAACACTTTAGTCTGTATGTCATCCGTGGTGCTATAATTCAGGGGGTTATGAAATCATGGAAAATGAATGTTTTACATTTGCCAGAGCAGTTGGCCAAGACAAAGCCAGAGATTATAGTTCTGCATTGCAAAGACTATTCTACATTCTTAACTTTAACGTACAATTCTAGAGGCTGTGGTTAAAGATGGAGGTGATGTGGGTGCCCTTACTGAGGTGATACAATGGCAATTAACATGCCAATTTCTTACTGTAAGAAAGCTTTTGGGAAGACAGAGATTGTTATTTGTTTTGTTCACTGCTGTATTCCCAGAGCTGAGAAAAATTCTCAGGTACTGAGATGTTTGTTACTTGACTGACTGAAGCTATTCTCATTTATTAGAAAAATAAATTAAAAACCCATTCGAAAGGGGTTAACCTTGAATGTATCTTTAAATTTCTTTCTGAGTTGAGATCCATTCATGGAGAGATCAATCACTACATTGTCCAGGTAATCACTGTCCTTACTCAACTCCCTTGAAGAGAAATTAGTCCAAATGCATCCAGGCAGATCTTCTTTTAGGATGTTCCATTCCACAGATGAAAAATAAACATGCCTTACTCAGGAGATCACGTTACTTTCATATACAAGGCTGCTCAAACAATGGTTTTTGTGTTAGACCAAGGTGTTTGGTCAGATTTCCTTGGTACGGCAAAGATTACTTTTTCCAGAGACTTTCAAAATGGTTATATTTTGCTATTTTGATCAATTTTTTCACAGATTTATAACTACATGCATCTCATCAAAGGACTAAGAAATATTTCTTGAATATTTCATGTACATCAATACCATGTGGATTTGGGGGTCATATTTACATTTTTAGTCTGCAGTGACATGTCATCAAGGACCTAAGAACAGAGTGAAATTCATTCTATGCTTTACGAATTTAGGGGCCTGGAAAATCGGAAACAATACCCATGCCTCCGGGTGTTCCTGGGGCTCAGGGAAGACTGGAGTTGGTGATACCTCTAGTTTCCTGGCTGGTTAATGATGAACAGAGTGAAATTCATTCTATGCTTTACGAATTTGGGGGCCTGGAAAATCGGAAACAATACCCATGCATGCCTCAGGGTGTTCCTGGGGCTCAGGGAAGACTGGAGTTGATGATACCTCTAGTTTCCTGGCTGGTTAATGAAGTGACAAATACAAGGCTGTAGGGAAGATGTATGAGTTTAGTTTTAGATATGTTTAATTTATTGCACCTGAGGAACATCTAGGAGGTAATGCATCCAGATCTCAGAAATTACAGATTTTGGAATTATCACCAAATAGTGGTATCTGAAGCTTTAGGCATGAGCGAGAGCATTCAAAGGGAAGGACCATAGAATGAGAAAATAGGAGGGTTGAGGATAGACTGTCTGGAAACACTGTAATCTAGGGGGCTGGTAGCAGAAGAGGAGCCAGCTGAGAAATAGTACAGGACAGAGGGATGTCACACAGGCGTCATGGAAAATGGGCAGCATGATGGACATTACTAAATGATACAGAAAGACTAAGGAGATGAGGACTGGATATGGCCCCCTAGAAAAACTACTAGAAAGAAATATAAAAATATTAACAAGTCTATTCCTGACTGTTGAGATTTCAGGCGGTGGATTTTCTTCTTTCAACTTTTCCGTATTTTCTGCATTATGTACAATAAATGTTGACTATATTAAAAAATAAAGTCTGAAATATGTTATGAGAACCAAGGGCTAGTAATTATTAATTCACAAGTATTCGAGTACCTATGTGCTGGTTGCCATTCTAAGGCTAAAACAATGAACAAAAGGATGGTTCTGTTTTTTATAAAAAGGAATGGCAACTGGTTTGACAAGGGAGGGGTGTAGGGCTTGAGGGGCACAGTAGCAGGCGATGCAGCTGGAAAAGTATTTTGGTGCCAGATTATGACACACTTTATATGTCTTGTCAAATAATATGGACTTTATTGAGGGGCGGAGTTAGGACTGGAACTGAGCCTTGCCTGAAGTTAATTTTCTATTTAACTTGGTGCGGCTTGCTAGCCTAGAGGGGTCTGAGTTCGGAAATGGGAAGCACAGTTAAAGGCTACTGCAATAACCGAATGAAGGACATGCAATGGGGAGGAAAAGGGTCAGATCCAGAGATGTTTGGGAGTAGCACCCACCAGTCAGTAGGATACTATCGACTGAATGTACAGCAGGTCCTTGAATAACGTCGTTTGGTTCAGCATTGTTTCATTATAACGTTGATGAAATGTTTATAGGAACTTAATTCTTGTTCATATTAATAGCCTATAGTAAAATTGTTTTCTTTATACATAGTTTCACTTAAAGTCTCAGAACCTATTGATGACGTTAGTGAAGACTTATGTATGTTGGGGGAAAGAAGACATCAAGAATTATTATGTTTTTAACTTGGGTCCATAGTAGGTAGAGTGACAACTATCCTACAGAGTTTGTATATAGTGATTAATTGCCGGAAATGGTCATTGCTATACGAAATAAGATAGTGAGTGGCTGTGTCAGATAGGTTTATATGAGAGGGGATAAGAAACTGGCATGTGAGATCTATTTCTGAGACTACCACAAAACGGAATCCTAAACTCTCACGTCTCCTCACTGCATCTGCATATTTGGTTACTTTTCCAGTCCATAGAATTCAATACTTCTGTGACAAAGAGGGGTATTGGAGTGATGTTTACATAGAAATAGCTATGGTCTCCAGGAAGGGACTTTCTCTGGATAGAAAAGTTTGGAAGAAGCCTGATGAAACCGAAAGTAATGGGAAGAAGTAGGTATAATTACATGAGAATCTATGATTTTAATGTAAGGGACCAAAACCCAGTAGGTCCCAAGTGAATTGTATTAGTTCGAGCTAACATAACTTAAGGTGACAGGTGTTGTACCTGTATTCTTGCATTCTTTCATTCATCTCCATTTTACAGCATTGGAAACTGACCCTTAGGTTAAGCAACTTGACCAAGGATGCTCAGCTAGTAAGTTAAGGAGGCCAAATATGAACCTGGCTGGAAGTACTACAGTAATAAAGCCTCTCTTCTGGACCAGCCACGACCAAGACATCTTAAGTAAAATTAAGTCACAGCCTCGCCCATCTCATCCTGCAATAAGATAACTTCTGCTGCACAGGCAATAACTCAGCCTTGGAGTGTGCTGCTGTTACATTACTAGGGGAGGCCTTCCTTATCGCCTAGGTGGAGAACCGAGTGCCAGGTGGTGTCAGAGATGGCAGCAGCCCCTTAAATGGTCACACCCTCAACTACTGATAAGGGTTCGAATAAGATTTAGGATGCCCGCTAGTCACTTGACCCAGTTCTTGAATTAATATCTATGTAATGCTGTCTTGTCAGTTAATTGTTCCTTTTATTTCCTTGAGTAGAGGTGAGTAGTGTTACTAAGTGAATTTTCATTCACTCTGAAAACAGCAGTTCTGAACATGTTACACCTGCCCCACCAACTGAATGACAAGATCCCCTTTGCTTCCCCGCAAGCCCTCCTTCATCCTCCTTCCCAATCTTCAGGTAACCTTTAGGATGGAGAATAAGGTACCACCTTTCCTCTCCTACAGCCGCTAGCTTCTAACCTGAACCTAAGCATGCTCCGGGTTACCTCCGGACGCCTTACCCCCACCCTCGTCGAGTGTTCGCGCGGCGAGGGTGAGCGCCCCGGTGTGCGAACCACAGACTCACGAGCAGCCGCTCGTTGCTCCAGCTGCCGCGACGTGGGGAAGTGAAAATGAAATTGACTTTTCGAGAAATGATGAAAGCGGCGCTGCCTGCCAATGAACAGCAGCGGCGAACTTCCGCACACCTCTCGGCCGGGCCGCTCGCCCTCCCTCAGCCTCCACCTCCCGGTTGCAAAAGCTTGAAACAAACACTGGGGAGGAAGGGCGGAGGGAGGAGGGCGGAGAGGGGAGGCGAGGGAGGGAGCGAGGGAGGAGGGCGGGGGGTGGGGGGATTTCCAGCCTCGGCTCTTCGCAGTTTCCTCTCCTTGTTTTGCTTTCGATCTGGACTGTTCTCAGGCAAGCCGGGGAGTAACTTTTAGTTTTGCTCCTGCGATTATTCAACTGACGGGCTTTCATTTCCATTTCACACACCCTAGCAACACTTAAACCTTGCGGAAGTGTATTGGTAGCGTGAAAAAGCACACTGAGAGGTAACATTTTTCAAATAATAGTTGTGACTGTGCGTGTGTTTTTCTCGAGGGCATGTTTATGAGGACTGGAGGGGTTATGTGTGTGGGTGTCCTGATGGTTTGACACGATGTTTTCCAGACGGAGAATGCTGGGGTTCATAAATATTAATACCGATTTTTGGAGGAACGGTCGGCGCTATTATGGATCATCTGATTTTAGGGGAAGCAGGTTCTGCTGCTGTTGCTGCTGCTACTGGGGCTGCTGAGGCTGCAAGGAGGAGGAGGAGGAGGAGGTAGAGAGGGAGGAGGAGGAGGAGGAGGTTGGTGGAGGTTTAATTTCACTTTTGGATTTGCAGATGCGGAGAGGTGGCTCCATGGACACAGACCTGCTCTGTGTGATTCTGCGCCCCAGGTGTTGTGTGTGTCGGGAGGTGCAAGTCCGCTGGAGTCGGGCCTCCTTTTACAACAAAATTATCGTGTGCAAGTGTGTGCGTATGCATGTTTACAGACGCCGTCGCCTCCAGATCTGAAGGAGGGGAGCGGGTCCTTCTCGGAGCCCGGCGGCGGCGCCTCTCTGCGGGCAGCCTCCGCGGAAATAAGCAGGACCCCGCCGTCCGCCGGCTGCCTGCGCCCCGCTCCCGGGAGGGAGAGTCGCCTCCCGCCGCGGCCAAGGAAACTTG